GTAAAAAACTTTTTTAAAAATTATAATTTTTGGTTATAAACTAATTTGGGTTATTTTTTTTACTAAAAAGATAACTGAATAAATTTTGGCAAAGATTTATGATGAAATATTATTTATTTGCAAAATTTAGAAAAACACTTTTTCTATTTTTTTTTTCATTTATATAACAAAAAAAAAATAAAAATCCCAGTGGTGAATAAATACCACTAAAATAAAGCTTTATCTGTCTCAAAAAAATACTAAAAAAATTCATATGGGGACAGTGTTGCATGACTGCGCAATTGTCACTCAAAGTGTGATAGCGCTGAAAGCTGAAAATTGGCCTGGACAGGAAGGGGGGAAAAGTGTCCGGACAGGAATGGGGGAAAAAAGCGTCCGGACTGGAAGGGGGGGAAAGCGTCCAGACTGGAAGGGGGTGAAAGTGTCCGGACTGGAAGGGGGTGAAAGTGTCCGGACTGGAAGGGGGGTGAAAGTGTCCGGACTGGAAGGGGGGAAAGCGTCCAGACTGGAAGGGGGGGGGGGGAAGCGTCCAGACTGGAAGGGGGGGGGGAAGCGTCCAGACTGGAAGGGGGGGGAAAGCGTCCGGACTGGAAGGGGGGGAAAGCGTCCGGACTGGAAGGGGGGGAAAGCGTCCGGACTGGAAGAGGGGGAAAGCGTCCGGACTGGAAGGGGGGGAAAACGTCCGGACTGGAAGGGGGTGAAAGCGTCCGGACTGGAAGGGGGGGAAAGCGTCCGGACTGGAAGGGGGTGAAAGTGTCCGGACTGGAAGGGGGGGAAAGTGTCCGAACTGGAAGTGGGGGGAAAGCGTCCCGACAGGAAGGGGGTGAAAGCGTCCGGACTGGAAGGGGGGGAAAGCGTCCGAACTGGAAGGGGGGGGAAAGCGTCCTGACAGGAAGGGGGGGAAAGTGTCCGGACTGGAAGGGGGTGAAAGTGTCCGGACTGGAAGTGGTTAAAGCTCAAGCACAATTTTGCAACATTGACATGTGTTAGTACAACCATATATCATCAGAACTACTTTGTACTTCCAGCTGAATTATACCGCGTTTTTTTCAGGACAAATTGGGCTTTCATTTGGTAATAAATGGTAATGGATATCTCCTGATTTTTTTTAAATTATCAAAGGAAAACTGACCCAAAACAGTAAAAAAAAAATATTTTTTTTTTAATTTAGCTTTGTGTTTCTTGTTACTACCATAACCTACCACCAAAGAACAACCCAAAATAAATTTTCCAGTTCTTGACGGTCGCAACGATCCTATATATGTGTATGTTATTTGTTGTTTGTACCGCACAGCCCAGAAAAAAATAGTGTTTTTTGTTCTTTGTTTTTTGCTTTTTTTTTTTTTTTTTTTTACCTAGAACACACTGACGTCTATACCAGTTAAAAAAAAAAAAAAAAAAATCCTGACCTTGACCCAAACACTAACCCTGGCACTGAACTAGATCAAGCCTTGATCTAGGTATTTTTTCTTTCATTTATAATCTTTTTTTAATTTTTAACAAAGTTTTTTTTTCCTTTGCAAGCAGTTTGAGAGATACAATGCATCTCTCTCCTCCATTCATAGAGAAAAAAACCAAGGGGGCAGGCTATACCGTGACTGATCACTGTGATTAGAGGCTATCACAGCGATCATGTGACCCGGAATCGGGAGTTCCGGGTCCCGATCGTTAGAACGGGTCCCGGGGCTATCAGTGATACCCCAGTCTTTTGTGCCGGGAGCAGCTGTGTGGTGCGCTCCCAGCACAAAGGCAGATACGCAAATATGCGGCCCCACGGAAAAAAGCCCAGTTCTGTGAGGCCGCATATTTGTGTGATGTTGGTGTGAAGGGGTTACTAATAGAACTTAGATGACAAAATTTTCAGTTTTACTCAAATTAGTTGATGCAAAAATAAATCCACCCCACAACAAGAACTACTCCATCTAGTAAGATCAATCGTTTTCCATTCTTCAAGAACGACCTCTTTTAGATCCTGGATGCTGGATGGAGAGCGATGCTCAACTTGTCTCTTCAGAATTCCCCATAGGTGTTCAATTGGGTTCAGATCAGGAGACATACCTGGCCACTGCATTACTTTCACTGTGTTCTTCAGAAATGCAGCAGTGGCCTTAGATGTGTGTTTTGGATCATTGTCATGTTGGAAAAGTGCATGATGACCGAGGGCATGGAATGATGGGAGCATATTCTCTTTCAATATAGAGCAGAACATCTATGAATTCATGTCACCATCAATGAAATGCAGTTCCCCAACACCAGCAGCACTCATGCAGGCCCATAGAAGGACACTGCCACCACCATGTTTCACAGTAGGCACCATCCATTTTTCTTTGTACTCCTCACCTTTGCGACGCCATACAGTGTTGAAGCCATCAGTTCCAAAAACATTTATCTTGGTCTCATCTCTCCAGAGGACAGACTCCCAGTAGTCTTTTTCAGCATGGACCCTTTCAAATTTTAGGCCAGCTTTTTTGTGCATGGGTTTTAGGAGAGGCTTGCTTCGTGGATGACACCCATGCATGCTATTCCTCTGCAGTGTACGTCGTATTGTGTCAGGGGAAACAATCACCCCAGTTCAGCAGATTTTCTTTAACCCTTCTCATCAGTAGACACTCCTGTCAAGATGTTAACGTCTGTGGATGGCCTGGACGTCTCTGTGAGATGGTTACAGTTCCATCTTTGTTAGATTTTTGTATCACTTTTGCTAAAGTATTCTAAATAAGTGAAGCTTTACTGATCTTCTTGAATCCTTCACCTTTCTTGTGTAAGGAAATTTATTATTAGTCCTTGTGACATTTCTTTTCCATGTGGTGCCATTGGTTTCAGCATGAAATGGGAGGGGTTTTCTTAAGTAATGCCCTTTTATAATCACCTGTCTGCTGGACACCTGTTTAATGGATAATTGGACTCACCTGGAGTTGATTTCTTGTTAGTCTAGGTTCACACCTAAGCGTTTTCTGCAGCATTTTGCAGAAACGTACTACAGTCCGTTTAACATGATTTCCTAGGGGACACATTCACATCTCCATGTTTTCACCCGGTGCATTTTTTTGAAAAGGGTCAGGGACTTTTTTAAAGGCAAAAAGTTGAATTTTTGTTCTATAGACTTCAATGGAGACACTGCAAAAGCATGTAGTGCGTTTTTGACGCATTCTAATCTGCCTAGCAACAAGAAAAACCGCAAAACGTGTCAAAAACGCACTGCAAAAAGCACTGTAGAAACGGATGAAATGTAAACTGCATACAGTAGGTGTGAACCGAGCCTTAATAAGGATTTTGTTGTCTAAAATTTAGCTTTGCTACTAAGACTTTCATTGGGGTGTATTCGTTTATGTAACATGGTTTTGAATGAATTTGTTAGGAAAAATACTTTTTCGTGTGTGCAAATTAACAAATCTTGTTTGCAATCAATGGGCGGCATTTGTGGGAATATTTTGTAGTTTGGTGTCCCATAGAAAATGTTGATTCTGAAAGGAAAGGAAAAGTTTTCTGACATCTGTTGGGGTGGAGAGTCTGGACTCATTTATGCTGATCAGTGTATGTGTGTATACATGTATGTATGTGTGTGTGTGTATATATATATATATATATATATATATATATATATATATATATATATATATATAGAAGATTGGATTGCTGCACGAAAAAAACTTTTATTGTTGAAAAATCACCATACAAAAGGGTGATCCAGAACAATAGACAACGCCATAGATCATAGTGTTCAACACAAAGTATGGCTTTGTCCATTGTTTTGGACCACCCTTTTGTATGGTGATTTTTCAACAATAACAGTTTTTTCTGTGCAGCAATCCAATCTTTTTTCTATATATGGCCTTTGGGAGGGCCTGATTGCTATCCACTGTGATTGACCATCGTTGTGCACTCCACCCTTGTTTTATTTTTTTCTTTTGGCCATGTAGATTATTAGTGGAGTAGCAGAACACTATACAACTCTTTGGTTATTTATTTGTGAAGAACACATAAATTGGTGGTTTTCCAGCAGCTTCCGTTTGCCTATTCACAAAATTAGTGGCAGCGCACAATTTGTATTCTATTCATGTCAGAGCCTTACTTTGCATAGTTAGAAAAATTCAAACCCAAGCCTTAAACCTGGAACAATCAATTGCAGGGAAGAAATGGGTGAGAAAATAAAATATGGCAGGACAGGTAAAACCGAATTGGTGCATTTAGAAAATTTGGAGAAATCCAGCCAGCCTTAAGGCTAGGTTCACGTATGTGCGGGTTGTGCCACTGCGGATCCCAACGAAAGTCTATGCAGCTGCACCACCCGCACAGAGAAATTGCAACCTGCGAGCGGGTGCCGTTAGATCTAATGGCACGCCGTCCGCACTGGAAATCCCAACTGTACTGGGAGCCGAGGATCCTGTGCGGGCTGAGTTTTCAGAAGAAGTGCAGGGACTTCTTCCCTGTGTGTCCCGGGGCATGAATTGGCTCTTCTGTCCACGCAAGACGTGGCCCGCACGGGCCGCATATATGTGAACCAGGGGTAAATAACCCCTATATTTTCACATTACTTTCTGCCCCAGTGAGTCCCAGGACAAATCTCTCCATTAGGGGCCACAGACAGCATTAAAAACCTGACAGGGGTTCTAACCTTCTCAAAACATTCTACTGCATCTAAAACCAAACAAAGAAAACATATGTCTAGAGGTGCACTTTAAATTCTGTGAACATCGTAAAATTTCAGGAAGGGGTAATATGGGGGTCTATGAAGAGACTTGGATAATCCGTACATTGCATTGATAAGCTGGGAACAAGTAGTTGGCTGGGTGGTTAGGGAACGCTGCATCTCTCTGTGGGAGATCCGTGTTACAACCTGCAGAGTTGTGGGCGGAGAGCAGCAGGTGCGTTTTAATACCTCTAGGCTACGGTAATGTGCTGGGATCAGCTTCTTACACTGCAGAGACTCAGCAGGTGGATACTGGTATATAGAACAAGAGAGCAAGGAGGAAAAATCCAAAGACTAAAGTGGATGTGTCAATTACAGAGTATGCCGGGGTTTATACTTCACAGGCAGAGCATACCGGGACAGGCAGCTTGGACTGCTGATTGTATAGACCAGTGTTTCTCAACCTTTTTTCAGTCAAGGCACCCTTTAAAATTATGGACAGTCCCGAGGCACCCTTTAAAATTATGGACAGTCCCGAGGAACCCTTTAAAACTATGGAGAGTCCCGAGGCACCCTTTAAAACTATGGAGAGTCCTGAGGCACCCTTTAAAACTATGGAGAGTCCCGAGGCACCCTTTAAAATTATGGACAGTCCCAAGGAACCCTTTAAAACTATGGACAGTCCTGAGGCACCGTTTAAAATTATGGACAGTCTTGAGGCACCCCATTCTAAAATGGGGTGCCTCTAGACTGTCCATAATTTTAAAAGTGCACCCCATTCTAAAATGTGAAAAATTATTCTAATAGCTGTATATAATGCAGCAATATCCACACATGTAGGACACCCAACATTAGAGGTGATTTATTCTTCCAAAGCAAATACACTTTTGCAAACTGGTACTGACTAGTATTCCCATGTTTCTCTTCTTCCTCAGTTTTTCTCCATCACTGAGCTAATGTGACCCCAGCACTGATGGAGAGGGGCGGGGGGAGGGTCAAACTAGGATGTTGTGCAGGCAGCTTACATCCTCCTTATCAACTGATGATGTGATTGGTTGTCAGGATGTTGGCGGCTAGAAGGTGGTAATGGTGCACAATGAAAACCTGTGGCTTTGTGTAATGAGAAAGGCAGGTTTGTTCCACCCGCTGACTTGTAGACAAGTTTTGGGCAATTTGTAGACATTTTTCCAAGGCACCCCTGAGGAAACCTCAACGCACCCCAGTGTGCCTGTGCACCCTGGTTGAAAAAGGCTGGTATAGGCTAACAAGGTGTTCTGGGACCAGTAGTTCTTCTGCAATTTAAACTGCCAGTATTAATAAGTAGGTTTTTAAATTAAAAAAATCTTTGAAAGCGCCGAAAAACCTGACAATGCAAACTGGGTGCTTGATGAAAAATATACAATAAGCAGAGAAAAGCTTCATATCAAAAAAGGCACTAAAATGATGGTGTGTGACAATTTAATGCCCGGAATGGCCATGGCACTATGGTGCTCAGTCACACAGCCATTCGCACTCAGGCGTGTTCTGACGCGTTCTAAATTGCACTCTCCTGGGTCGCAGACCAGTTGACTCTTTGCGGAGTAATTGACGTAATAGCACACGTGTGTGCGTTGCTCTGTTGGTGGACAATGAGTGGCTGAATCTGGAAGAGCAGATTAACATCCAATTGTGCATAAAAATTGACAAAAGTGAGAATGAAACTTAACCACTTCAAGTCCGGACACTTTCCCCCCCTTCCTGCCCAGGCCAATTTTCAGCTTTCAGCGCTCTCACACTTTCAATGACAATCGTGCGGTCATGCAACACTGTACCCATATGAATTTTTTAGCATTTTTTTAAGACAGATAAAACTTTATTTTGGTGATATTTATTCACCGCTGGGATTTTTTATTTTTTTTGCTATATAAGTGAAAAAGTAAAATAATTTTGAAAAGTGTTTTTCTTATAAAATTTTGCAAATTAATAATCTTTCTTCATAAATCTTGGCCGAAATGTATTCAGTTATCTTTTTAGTAAAAAAAAAAAAAAAACCCAATTTAGTTTATCACCAAAAATTATAATTTTTCAACAATTTGTGTTTACATTTTTATTTAATTTTTTTATGTTATGTTTTTGTTTTTTTAACATGCTGTCACCCTAGCAGTACAGTGTCACCATAGTGCAGTGTTTCTCAACTCCAGTCCTCATGGACCCCCAACAGGTCATGTTTTTAGGATTTCCCTCAGATGAAACAGCTGTGGTAATTACTAAGGCAGTGAAACTGATCAAATCACCTGTGCAAAATAATGGAAATCCTGAAAACATGACCTGTTGGGGGTCCATGAGGACTGGAGTTGAGAAACACTGCCATAGTGACACTGTACTACTTGTGGGGGGTGATGAAGATTTTGTTTTTGTTGTTTTCTTTTTTACACTGATTGCTTTTACACCCATAAAGGCTGTAAAAAGTAATAATTTCTGCTCTCTGGCTGAATTCTTGCAGCCATTGAGAAATACTGTGAGAGCTGTGATTGGTCACAGCTTGTCACATGGTACACGGCTGTTGTGAATAGCCTTGTACCATGTGATCTCTGTGATCATTCACAGAGCCTCTCCATTGGTTATCAAAGTTGACTTTTATGCTAACGGACCAATAAGGAGGTTCAAGCTCCACCTTTTTTTTTCCCCAGTACCTTAAAAATGTATTTGAATGTGAGCTTTTTGTAAAGACTGATTATTGCACATCATGAAAATGTCCTGGGGATCCAGAACTTCTGAATTTCTCTCTTTAGTGTTTAATATACTTGACCATTTTTTCATTCTTTGTAAACCATTCAAATTAAAAGCTCCAGAAGCTCGAAATGAACTCTAGACAATTTGTGTTTGTAGTCACGAGAGAAGGGAAAAAAATTTCTGAGTTGGATTTTTTTGCCATTTACCTGGCAGGCTGGTATCCATTTTTCCTGTAAAAAAAAGGAAAAACAGTGCAGCTCTACAATTGCAGAATATAACTCGCCTGTAATGAAATTAAAAAACAAAAACATGCAATAAAGCAATCACTAAAAGTCCAATGAATACGGTGCTCAAGTGCTTGAAGCGATAAATCTTCGTGATAAAACAAACCACCAATAGTGCTAAATAAAAAGTTCAAAGTGATAGCCGGAAACTCCGTCTAGTGATGGAAGAGAGTCCACATGCCAAAAAGGCACACTGTAGCTGTTTACCAGAACGCAGTGACCCCGGCATAAAACAGATGGGTCCAACAGTGCTTGGGTAGATTAGAATATCGCATCCAAAATGACAACTGCTGCAGCTGGTGTGCAAGGTGGAAATTGGACTTCCAAGTCACTCAAAGGTAAAATACAAAAACACTTCCATAGTATAAAACCGCAAAGGATAACTTATTGAAAGCTGAGAGACCCTCACATGCTAAGGCAACAGGCTTGTGAAACCATACACGATTCTGATGAGTGGTGTTCCTATGGCTTGCTGTGACTCCGACATCGATCCCTATCCAATCGCAGTCCACGTGCATGATGATATCACCGTCCCAAGCTCCACCCAACACGTTTCATCATTGTCTTGGGTCTGAGGAAAGGCCATCACGCAAAGGGCTGTTAAATAGAATATCGCCGCCATCTTGACTACTGGAAATTTTCCAATACAGGAAGTGATGACCAAGCCGCAACAGGGATCTCACAGCGCCACCACAGTAGTGATGGAAAAAGAACAAACCTGTATTGTAAAATCGTTAAAAGAGATAAGTGACTGAGAATGAACACCATAACATGCCAGTAAAATAAAATAAAAAAGGTGTTCATACCACAAAATGTTAATATGTGTAAGTACATATGGCTCAGGGATCATAAAAATATGAATATTATTATGGCACCCATTTTTGTTGTATGGTTTAATGGTATGTGATTCCTTAGACAAAGCCATAAGAATGTCCCTTATTGGAAGGTTAAATGAGAAGTTCTGCTTTTATTAGGCATTTTACACTAGATCTGTTCAATCCTTTTTTGGTGTCCAGTGGCCTCTGTATATTGTAGTTCAGTAAATGAGATATCTTCAGAATATGTATGTACATCTACCCTTTCCCCCACGTTTTAGGGACCTACATTTTCAATGACAGAACCAGTAGGTACACCCTGGAAGAAGCAAATTAGAGAATTGATTATTTGAAATTGTATTCACAGAGTTTGTCAATATAATGAAAGAACTATTTGGACAAAAAATGCTGATCTTGTGTGGACCATTGTCCACCCACTAATGACATTGGCTTCCTTCTTCATGGCATAGCAGGTTGAGAACAGACAAGCTAGAAACCAAAGCATGCACAACATGGGCCTTTCCCAAGGAGGTGTCTGCATTCATTCATTTATTTCAGGTACTTATATAGCGCCGTCAATTTACGCAGCACTTTACATATATTTTGTACATTCACATCAGTCCCTAACCCTCAAGGGGTGTACAATCTAAGGTCCCTAACCCTCAAGGGGTGTACAATCTAAGGTCCCTAACTCACATTCATATATATTTACATACTAGGGCCAATTTAGACAGGAGCCAATTCACCTACCAGCATGTCTTTTGGAGTGTTGGAGGAAACCGGAGTACCCGGAGGAAACCCGCACAGGGAGAACATGCAAACTCCAGGCAGGTGGTGCCGTGGTTGTGATTCGAACCGACGACCCTGGTACTGCCAGGTGGAAGTGCTAACCATTTAGCCACTGTGCTGATACTGTGTAATGCGAAGAAGTACATTACTCTAGCTCTGAAAAGTAAGGCCTCATTCACACGAGGTGTAAAATACTGTACGCCCATGCAGGGCCATGTTTTTCCCGTGCAGGTGTATCTATGCAACCTCGTGGAGAAAGTCCCATTGATTTCTATTGGGACACAACGGCTGCATGCACAATGTGTCACAATATCACAATATCCATGTGGGTGAGTGTCCCCGAACACACCCGCACGCACACGGATGTAGTATTGTGGCACATCCATGCAGCCACCGTGTCCCAATAGAAATCAATGGGACTTCCAGTATAGGGAAGCACATAGCACCTGTGAATCCTCTGCAGGAAAACATGGCCCTGCACGGACGTACGGTATTAGGCCTTGTTCACACAGGGAGTACAATAGTCTTTCCAAATATTGGCTTTAAGTTCTTATAATGCCTGGTATTATACATTGTTTATTCACCCTCCAGCGTTCATCATCCCATATGAACCTATCAATGGGACTTGGGAGTTGACACTGCTGCCATTTAACTGACCATTATGGCTGCATATTGTAAAATTGAGTAATGTTGCTCCTTAGTAACGTTTATAGTACAAGTACAGGATCTAGTTTACAGGAAGCAAGCAACAAATTCATTCATATAAAAGTTTAAAATGGCTCTCATTGTACTTTGTTTATCCATGTGCAAAGTACATGACAGCCCTTTTAGGCTCGGTTCACATTGCCCCGACTTGGGATCCGACTTGTGAGACCCCCAAGTCACATGACCTGTGAAATCCCATGTTAGTCAATGAGAGCTGTCTCAATAAGTACTACTGAAGTCGCTACAACTTTAAAAAAGTTTCCTGTGCTACTTCAAGGCGACTTCTAGCCAACTTGTGCCAATAGACTTTAATGGAAGTCACCTCCCAAGTCGGATCCTCATCTATAATGATGTAATTGGGATCCAACATTACAGGAAGATTACCCAGGCAAAGTCGCATGGCATGAAAGTCATACTCAAGTTGTCAACAAATCGCCAGAAACATCGCCTGGCAAAGTTAGTCGTG